CTTCCGATCAATTAAAAAATTATATTTGTCGATAATTTTATAATAAAATATTGTAAATGAATTTTCGGACGCCGAAGGATTTCTCTATGAGAAAACGATCCCAGCAATTTAAATAACGGTATAATTGTTGTCAAGGAAAGATGTCAATTGACTTGGGCCAACCAAATCCCAATAAGGAGTGTCAACTTAGATTATCATGAATATATATCTCTAAGGGCCAAAAATTTGTGGTTATTCATCATAAAAATATCGCAATCTAGTCAGCATCTTCAACGACTATGTATGGACACCAATTACAAGGTTTTTACAAGTATGACTTGTTTAATTAATGGTTATATTCGTTGTCAAAGATCACCACGCTTCAACAATCAATAGATTACACCAACGACCACCCTAAAATCATTATATAACTTATCATCTCATTTTCTCTTTTGGAAAATATAATTATTTGAGTGGAATAAGTTGAGAAGTGGAGTAATGATGTTTGTTTTCCCTCCTCCCTTTTGGAAACAGATGATGGTGCTTATTTCATAATTGTCTGCCTTGCCTTCGTAGAGATTTTACCATCTTCTCAATTTCAAGTACGAATTCGATGCTTAACTATGCTGTTGTTAATATTATGAGATAATTTAAAAGAGATGTTATAAAAAAAGAGTTACATTTTTCATCAAAGTTGTCATTAATGATGGGCCAACATCAAAAAGAGGTTATATTTAATTAAATATTATTAAAAGAAAGTTAAGTGTGTTGCATGGTTGATTGCAAAGGCAATGTTGTCCATGTCTTTCTCACCTCGAGGTGTGAGTAACCCACATGGATCCTACTTGTCGCACAATTTTCCATGTCCAACTGGTGCCAACGGACAGTGAAGCACACGTGTAGAATGTCTATCGCACGTGTACTTTTGCTTCAAATTATTCTTTTCAATTGCATCTTATAAAACTAATATAAGTCTTTTAAATTACTAATTACTATATCTTTAAACATAATCACACAATATTCTAAAATAAACTATCAATGGTTAATTATATTTGGGTGATATTATTATAAGATCAAACATTATTTTAATATTGATAATATTTAAAAACAGTTTTGGCTTGATCCAGTCAACGGTCAAAGACAGTTTCCCTATAATCACGATTCTCACTATATCTTGGTTTTCTTATAATGGTAACACGAATCAAGACCCCTTTCCCTCAAGCTTCCTTCCACTTTCTTAACCTCCTCCAGCTGTCTTAGATTGTGTGATTCTCCACACGTGCACGTGCACGTGCCACCACCTTCAAGGGACACTTCCACACCCAACTTGTAGTACTTCTTAGTATTTGTATGAGAGGTTAGCATTTTATAAACGTGGCCATGTGACCATGTGAGCTGTTAATCATGTGATTAACGGTTAATGAATCATGTAATTGGTTGGGTTATATTGTTAATCTATGGTTCAGTTCCTGTTGCTTTGCACGTGCGCTCTCTTTCTCGTACCCTGGAGTTATAAACAAACGTGTGTGTGCCCCAAATGCCTACCCCTAAAAAATTACATGGGTATAGATTGAAGGGTATTATCAAAAAATCACATGATCAATGGAATGGTATTTGTTTTTTATTCCTTAAATTAAGATATTAAAAGCTAAAAACTAATTCTTATGTTTATTTAAAAGAGAGAATTTTTCTAGCAAATGTATTTCTTCTATAGTAGTACATACTTAGAAGAGATTGAAGTCTTGATGATATACTTAAGTTAAGATTAATTAGTAACTGTCCATACTTTATTATTGGTAATTGATTAAAGCATGCTTTGGTGGTTGTGGGTAGTATTTAAAAATGGAGGAATAGCAGAGAATATGCATTATGGCACATGATGGTGCAATGATTATTTATAAATCTCACGATCTCGGGGTAGCTCATTTCTTTATTTGTTGCTTACATTAACCCAATCATTTCGTTTGCGGATTCTTGAAATGATGAAAGGTTTCAAAGTAAGCATGAAAGAATGATTATAATTATGATTATTATATAGTACTATAATGAATGAATTCGTTTTCCCTTGGAAGATTTCTTAAAATTCAACGATGATCCATTCCACGAGAAATTAGTAAAGAAAGATGGTGGCTTGTTGAGAGCATGAGAGGGCCACCCTGTTTCTTTAAATAATACATAACACAGGTTGCCTATTTCAAGGTCTGTCCCCTACTCTCCAAAAATACTGAGCAATTTCCGAACCTTTTTCTTGCTGTAAACATGCTCTACTTCCATTCTCATATTTTTATGTCCACTTCATTCATTAAATTCCTTCACTTTTATTAATTAAAATTTAACATCAAACATTATTTTCTTTCTGTTTTATATCATTTTATACAGACTTACATTGAGATTAGTTAAATGATTCATATTTTCATTAAAAAAGATTAATGATTGAGTCGGATCTTACATATGATCTACTTATCCTAATCTAATTGTTTTGAAACAATTTTTATTATTATCATATTTTAGATATGTATTGATTGGGGCTCAATTGCTTATTTGCATTGGATAACTTTGGGTCAAAAACAGGGTCAACAAAATAAATACGAATATCTACAATTCATATAAAAAAAAATAAAGAATAGCATAAATACAAGTATACAACAGAAAACAAAATCAAAACCCAAAAAAAGAGCAAAGAGAAACATGCTTATTATAATTAATTTCATGAGCTTTTTAGTTACTAATTCCAGGTTTTAATCATGTAAACAAGTGAGTCACTACTTCCAGGTTTTAGTCATGTAAAAATATTCTTTGGATTTCATCGCTAAAAAAATTAAAATAATTACTATTATGTGTCACACATTTATTGCTTCGCGCTTAACAAAAGACGAATTTTTTTCGTTGTTAAGATGCTTCTCCTCTAAAAAAGAATTTTAAATTCTTAAAATAAATATTACTTCTTCATCTTAAAATAGTTAATAGAACAAAAATGGTAATTTTAAATTTTGGACAGATGAAAATTAAAGAACTTTTTTTTATATAAGAATTTAAAAAAATTCATTTTACAAGATTAAAAAATAATTTCAAACATTAGAAGAAGAAAAATAAAAAATAATTTTATAAAGATGAAAATTAAAGCATATTTAAGTGAGAAATAAATTATTGTAATTAATTTGGGTCAACTTGGAATTATGGACAAAAGGAGTTTTGGGTTAGCCTTTTCAAAGAATTGAAGCCCAACATAAGGAGAAACGGCGAGTGTTGTTCATCCACCGGAGTAGAGTCAATTCCAACTAATAAGCTAACCAAGGCATCAATCTAAAAGCAATTTTGGGTCTAGCTTCTTTGATTCCGATCGCCAATTGCTAAATGTATTTCTTTCGCATTTTCAATATATTTTTTTTAAAATTTATTTTTCTTTGAAAAAGCATATTTTTACCGATAAATAAATGCTACTAAAATTACTTTCCAGAATATATTTAACACATTTAAAAAATTATTTGCGAAAACAAAATTGGGTTGTCTAAGGATGTCACAATTAAGGCAAAATGTTATCAATTTAGGCACAATTTAACCATGTACAACCTTAGGTCCAATAAACATTGCTCTTAGACGTCCTTAATTTTGCACTCGAAAAGTAATTTTTGAAATATGTTAAACACGATTAAAAAATTCAACAGAATTGAAATAATATACGTAAGCTCATAGGTTCGAACTCTATTGCTACTTGTAATTTTTACAGATAAAAAAGATATTCCAAAAATTAATTTGTGAAATGTTATTATTAAGAATATGTATTGAAAATTTGTTTTTAAAAAAATATTTTAAGAAAATAAAAATACAAAAGAGGAGTGGTTTAAGTACTATTAAAAGTCCATAATTGTCTTTGGATAAATTTTTTTTTATCCTATAATTTCATTTACTTTACTTTTTAATCTCTATAAATAAAAATAAAATTTTAATTTCTATATTTATAATTTTTAATGTTTTTTAATTTCTACTATTAATTTCTTTATAACATCATTTTCGTGTAAGTGATTGAATTATTTTTGCAAGCCAATTCATAAAATAAAATAAAAAATAATAAAACATTAAATCGACAAAATTCTAATTACTCTTTTATTTGTTACTCAATTTCATAAAAAAAAAATGTAGAAAAAAATTTGTAAGTAAATCAAATAAAGATTGCCTAAATACATCCATTTGAGAATAGAAAATGAGGTAATTATTTTGGCCCTTATTCCAATTTCTTGGAGGGCTTAAGGTGCTCCCAAGATTATTGGCAACAGAATTTCACTCTCTTTCTCTTGCAAATTTGGAAAGAAAAAAAAAATACTCTCATTCGTCTTGTACTCTCACTAAATAAACATAAAGTAAAGTAAAAATCAGTCAAATAAAATTGAGTGTTCACATAAATTAGCAGGAACCTAAGCCTTTCAAGTGAAGAATATTCTTTGATGTCTGTGATGAACTAATATATCAACATATATCACACTCTTATGGTGTGTCTATATAATTTGATGCAACTACTGAACTACATATTTTGATCCATCCAAATACATTTCTGCTCAATTTAATAAATTTAGTTTAACAATGAAGTACAACATGATGATTTCTTTTATGTAGATTCCTCTTCATTAATGCCAATCACTTCAGCAATGAAAGCCTTGAATGGTGCAGACCACCAATATGACAAAGATCCATCAAGTAATGGAGTGGTTGATGGTTCTATCTCCACCATTTGAGATTGTTCCATCGTGTTGCTTGGAATAACTTTACGATTACTTTCTCTCCTCCTGAGCCTACCTTTATTGGTGCTATCTTTTGTGGATGTTTGATCCTTCAAATATGGCACTACATGCTTTTTCATGTCCTCCTGGGAGATTTCAAGATGCTTTCCTGGAACACTAATAAAGTGAACTTTGCCAGCTTCATCTAGAGTTCTTAAGCCTATCCAGTCCTCAATGTAGAGTTCTGTCTGTTAAGCAAATTAATAGAGTAAAACAAAATCAATAGGTCTATTATAGCCAGAAACTTTGCACCAAATTTTCTGATTATTTGATTTTAATGTATTATGACTTGCAAGTACATGATATAAAAAATTAACGCATTAGAAATAGATTTGATCATATATGCCAAAGCCTACAATTTCAACCATGAATTTTTTCTAAGGGATCCCATCTCCTTTATATGATTATTGCGCCTTTAACAAGATCCTTTAATAAAAGTAGTGTGTGGCCACTAATAGAGTAATTGTCGTCAATTTTAATTACATCATAGCGTAGTGGTTTAAAGCTACTAACTAATAGTAAATAATGCTAAGAAATTCATTTCAAGTGTTTCAGCCATTTCTGTTCTAAAATAGCTATTCAAAGAAAAAATATAGAAGCTGCATCTATTAGATTGAACAATGGAAATGGAAATAACATTTATGATCCAGACAAGTAACAGAATCTTAACGAAGCAACTCCATTGATAGCATTTAATAAATGTAAAGCAAAACTCCAAGTAAGAAAATTTATATCACAAGCAAAGACCCATCGAAGTTGAATTAAGGATCATACCGATTGTGGTGGTAGAACTGGCTTGAAGAAGCCATCTGGGTAATATCCAAACCAGGAAGTTTCCTTTGGTATTAAAACAGTGTCGTGCTCAAACTGTTTAATGCACAAAATAAGATGACAAATACATAAGCTTTCCTCATGAAGCCAATTAGCAATGTTCTATTCATAATCTCAACAAAAAATACCTCTAGAGGACTTACCATGATAAGTACCAAGTTCTGCAAGCTACTAAATCTTTCCTTGTAAGTGGAATTTCTTTGGTCTGGTATTTCATTATTAAGCACTGGGAGAAATCTACACTTCTCCAAATAATCAGGTATGGCCTGAAATCAAAGTTTATTTCAACGTCAAGATAAGTAATCAGGTATGGAGAAATGAATTTTTATTACTCAATTTACACTTCATAGATAAGTAAGTCTTTAGTAATTACACATTTTCTTTTGAATTATATAACTAAGTGTAGTACTCACATTTGGTAATTTAAGATATCCACTAGGAGCTAAGTGTTCCTGCAATATTTCAAAATGAAGGTACGTTAGAAACAGTAAAATGTGCATGAAAATTAGCACCAAGTACCAATATAATGAGACAATAAGTGCACCCTAATACGTTACCAATGAAAAAGGAAGGACATATGGTAAGATTAAAAGAATGTAGAGATCAGATAAAAGAGAAAATGAATACTTGAATATAGTCACTGTAAACCTCTCCCTTGATGAGGTTATCTGCAAGAACGCATAAGATACCTGACTGTTGAAACAAAACACAATTCAAAAAAATTAGAACTAGGCAAAATAGAACTTTAATATAGATTGAATTCTTCTAATATAATCTTCTCCACAAACTGACACCATGAACAATATTTTTCAAACATCGCATCAAAGTTAGGCCTGCTATATGTTCCAAACAAAGCATACCTAAATAGTGAATCTAAAGTACTTTGTGCAAGATAGGAGTGAACATAAATGGAAATGAAATGAGAAAAATGCACGAGTTTTAATAATTTTATTTGATAATACTCTACAAGATTAAACTTGATAAATAGTTCACTCTCTTCATGATATAAAAAAAATATGGAAAGAAATATTGGAAAATAAAAAGACCTGAGTCAGTTGGGATGAAGAAAAGTAAAGAGTTTATAAATCGAGTTGTTGTGCCTAGAAAATGTTACAAGTCTATTGAAGAGGTGATTGATTCAATGGCGTGATGTTAGCACAAAATTGATAATATAACATGGTATTTCCAAAATCTATATACTAGACTTAAATTATGAAGGCATCGCATAGGAAAGCCATAATGATACTCACACCACATAGGGGAACTGAAGCAGTACCAGCATGAGGGCCTGCTAAAGAGATAAAGTTTTTAATCTGTTCCAAAAATAAGAAGTAAGAAAATATCATGAATAAGTTAACAAGAATATGGAAATATAGAGACAAAATACATAGAAAAGAACAATACCAAGAGAGATAGAAAGGAATACTCACACATGCAATGACAAGCAGAACCAGAAGAAGGAACTAAAAGCTCGTGAATAGCATTTCCATTTCTTATATCAATAAAAGAATAGTATTTCCAAATTCCAATTCCAATTCCATTAATAAAAAACAATGAAACATGAAAACTACATGGTTAAAAAAAATGAAAAGCTATAGTTATAAATGGAAAAAGGCATGCATGCACATATATAAAATATTATCAATTTGTCAAAACCAATTCTCTTAATTTTCCTGGCACTGATCACCTTCTTCTTCTCTTTTAATTCTTTCAAGTGAATCTGTCAGTTAATTTCAGTTATTGCCTCCAATTATGAATGAATGAGACTCTAGTTGATATTTCACAAAAACCGTTATTCTCTAGTGCATATCCGATTATTTAGATATGTACAAGTATAATAATAAATGGAATATGTAGAAAAATTATAGATTCTTACAGGAGGTCCTCCTTCACAAAATTCCACCACGCCTCGACCAATTAAATTTCCCTATAAGATGAGAAATTCAAGAATGAAGCACAAAAGATCTAAAAATATATACATAAAATAAGCATATGCGAGATGAATTATGTAATTAAGTTACCAATTAATTAACATTTCTTTCCTAACTAAAAAGAAAGAAAGAAAGGAGATTAGACATCTGCCTCAATAGTAAAGAATAAAGTGAAGATATCTTCTCCAATTTGCCAAGGGTTATGCAAGCCTTTACAGCTGACAATAAAAGGCATTTTCTTTATCAAGCAAGCCTTAAGAAGAGACACAACTATCTCAAGGCTGTAACTACAAGGCATTAAAGAATGGAAGTCACTAAAACAAACAAATATTCACAAGAAGAATATACTTATGAATCTAAATGGTGACAAAGATAATGTATGTACTGGATGACCTTAAAATTTAATACAGCTTACGAAACTTTATTCAACATCAGTTTTTAATACAAATGAACATAGTTCTATCCACATAATTTCTTTACTTTGTTGATGACCTCTAAGGTTTTTTTATTTTATTTTATTTTATTTATAAATTTTGTAATGATTAAAGGCTTTCTTATAGTGCAATAATCAGCACCCACTTGCACTCTGCAGCAACAGCAAAAGTCTTAATGAAGAAAATCCCAATTTTCATGCTTTACCTGGGAAAGTCCAACGACGTTGTATCCTTCCTTCAATTCTTTCATTTGCTTCACCTGTACATGGTGGGAAATGGAGTAGCAAGTTTAAATTCAAAAGCCTAGTAGAAAATGTCACCACAACACAGCAACAATCCTTTTATCACCTTTTCACAAACAATCTCAGTCTGCAGACATGTAAAACAAAACAAGTTAGAAATAGTCAATACTGACAAAACCATCTGCACAGCAAAAATCCTTCTGACCTATATATTACCTGCTCTTTCAAAGACAAAAACCATGAATCCCATGATCCATTTCCAACCTCACTGAAGAAATAGGGAAACTTTATTAGTCATGAAAACGACGTTACAACACCTATTTTCAGAGTATAATATAACAAAAGCTAGAGAAAATAGTAGAAAATAATTCCTTAATATATGCTAAGAAAATTAATAGAAAAGTTATGCAAACATACACACAATATCCTTCAGCACCGGAGAAGCTGCTCAATTTCTGTGTGAATCTTTTCACTCCACGGTTAGAGCACTGATCCCCAATTCCTGCCACCAAGAATCATTATAATCTATAATTCTAGTAAAAAATATGACAAACCAAAAACAGAATTCAAGTACAACCAGACAATTCAGAATTAAAAAAAAATCCAAAATATAAGTGCATGGAAGTTACAGATTGCAACATGTTGCATTCATCTGAAATTGGAAGCAGACGTGGCACCAGAAATGAATCAGGTTAGTGGTTACCCTAATATATTTTGTTAAATGCAATCTACACTAGTATTTAATTAATTATAAATGGAGTGGAATGTTAGTTTCTTATTTTTGAAATATCCACTGATAAATTAGCATCTCACTGGTAAGTATCAATCAAGCACCTTCCTTGAGTGAGGAGCAAGAGAAAAAGGAGATTATAGTGGTTATAATTAAAAACAGATTGGAAAATAAAAAGGAAAAAAGATTACCATGAAGAAGAATGAAGGGTATTGAGTGTGAGAGGGAGACGATGAAGGAGAAGAAGATGAAGAGAAAGGATAGTGAAGGAAGAGCCATCACCGTAGGAACAGAACAAGTGTTTCGGTAAGACTAAGGAAAGGAAGGTGGGTATGGTACTGTAAGTCAAAGACTTCTTGTTGGGTTCATCATATTTTTATTTAATTCATTCTCTTTAAAAGTGCAGACTTTATGTTAATTGTATCATTCATCAATAAAAATTTCTCCAACATCAAACATCTTAAATAACTTAATAATAACTTTATAATAAGTGATATAAACTAATAATAATATTTTAGGTAGATTTTTACACTTGTATTTATTCTTGTTATTTTTATCCTTGTTTTCTAAATTCTTATCTTGAGAGTCCTTATTTTAATATTTTATTTTTATTTTTTCCACTGATCTTATTCAAGAGATTCAAAATCCTTTATTTATTCTCTTTTTAATAAATATAATAATCTTCAATTTTATCTCTTTGAAAAAGAGAAAAATAAATTATCTGCAAACGATACTTAAACTTCAACTTAACCTTCGGATCGAGATAATAAATGCAATTAGTCTTATAAAAATATAAAAATACCTTCTTCTTTTTTCTTTCTAATCATTATTCATATTAATCTTATGTAGTCTAAGTCTATAAATAAACCCATTAATCTTCGATATAAGTTCTAATATGTTTTAATATTATATTCGATAATATTGACAGTTTTTTATATATTTTTTTGAGGGGAAGTTTATATATATATATATATATA